GAAATGGTGATGACGAGTGCAGAGGGGAGATAGGTCGTGTTGTCTGCATCGGCAGAGACAAGGAAGGTGATGGTGGAAGTAGAAGGGACACAAGTGGTGTTGGCAATAATGGGTGCGACACAAGTGGTGATGGCAAAGGTAAAGAGGATGAAGGTTATGTTCTCAGAATTGACAGGGACACAGAACAAGTTGGCAGAAGCAAGGGGGATACAGTAAGTGAAGGTATAAGTCGCGCGGACAAAAATGACCAGGCACAGAATGGAGTAGGATCAGGATACACAGGGCAATTTTTTAACAACGATGTGCTAGAAAGTATCATTAAGATTACCTTAAAGTCCTTTCCGTTTATGAGAACATCCTTACGAGGTGTAAATACCTTCTTCAGAGAAACAGTAGACAAGATGCCTTGCCCTACGGTATATATTCCAGAACTTGCAGAAAAAACAGTCGTCATAAGTATAAGAAAACTAGTCATGCTGAAGGGGAGATGCAGTAGTGCTGTTGAACGCCTTCGGGCAGTTATTAAATCCCCTAAATGGTATCATGCATGGGTGAGGTTAGTTCCTCTAGAATTTGGATGGTTTGCAATATCTGGCATTTTTTCCAAGAATATTGCAAACACACGTAAATAGAAAAGCATGCCAACCAAAGAAGAACATATTTTCCTCGTTTAATGCCAAATAAGGAAGCTTGTTTTTTGGATTTGCCAAAGACTGATTAGCTATATTGTTTCGCTCTAGGCTGATAAAACTGTGTTCTTCTCAGAGAAAATTCGTGCTTGGTGTATAAATTAATAGGACTGATGTTCGGTTCCCATACTTTTTTGTATCCACAACTAAAGTTTCCCTGCCATGTATAGGAGGAAAGCAATTCGAAGTCCTAATTTGATAACCGCAAGCCGTTCTTTTTCAAGGTTGTAAGTTAATCTTCAAATTTAATGAGATTAAACCATTGTTTTGAAGTCATAGGTTGTCTAAATTAAGTCCTTATTTTACTATATTGCAACAATAAAATTTCCACCAGGACTGTGTGACGAACAGGTAACACGACAGTCGCATGTTGAAACTGCTCAATGCCGTCATAAACCAATTAGCAAGTTTACATGTAATTCGTATGAGGGTAACCTATCGTGCTTAACCAATTCTGGTCTCCTTCGCAGCCGTCCGTGATGCCATCAAGAAGAGCTATTTGAGGCATTTTCCGGCCTCTATCTTGCTTAAAATTAAAGGTTCCAAACTATTCGAAACTTTGCATACCTGTCGAGTATTACGCTGGTCGTGCTGTTCCCAAAGCTTAATAATAGCTTGCGAAGCTTGGACAAAAGACTTTCACCGTCCACTCAAGTTTTACCTTTCGCTTTCCCCCTTCCTACTTCTTTTGGTCCTCTTCAACTTCTCGCCGTTCTTTATGTTTTTCTTAGGCCCTTTTGACTGACATGAAGAGCCTCATAGCTTAGATACGGAAACTCCGGTCATCTGAAATGACCGACCTTTGATCTCTAACAGCAAAAGACAATAGCAGGCGTTGATAGAGGACGCAGTCGGACTTTCCCTTGGTTGTGTTGAAGTGAATGTTAATCGTCAGTCACACGTCAACTCAGCTACTATTTTAAATAAGTTGTATGAAATGTGATAAGCAATTAACTCAGCGGAGGTGTAAGACTGGATGATTCTTTTTTGAATTTTTTTCAGCGTTACGTGTTGAAATGTGTGAATGATGTTACACCGAGGTTTGAAACTGTGAAAAGGTTTTTTTTTCGTTGTGGTGGGGGAGGGGTACCGATTACAAAGCCAGTCTTAGTATTAAATAAGCTTTACAGTTAGGCCGGTAAAAACCCGGTAAAAAAAATCGAACTACGTCCAAATGAATAACTGCTTATTTATAAAAAGCAAACACCGTTTGCTGTGGATCAAAGAACCAATCTGCGGGTTTGTACGATACCGGAATGAAGAACCCGCGTGTGTCAAAAGAGAGAAAATGATTGCTTCTTTCCTGTAAATCGCCATTTGACGTACACTAGAAAACCATTTCCCTCACGGAAAACAAGCGGAATACGTTAAAATGGATAACATTTTGAGACTGGGTGAGCTTCACAAGAAGATGCCTCTATGTGTATAAGATTCCTAGGGTGACAGTGACAGCGCTGCTTGATATATATGGTCCAATGTATATCTTGCATTCACAAACTACAGAAACATCGTTTGTATTTGGCGGGACATTATATTGAGCCTTTCAATTTGGAAACCTAAATGAAGTATTCCCTAGTAGCTGAAAGGTGCAGTTTCAAATCGAATTAAATGACAATGACAATAGATACAAACACCCGCGGAGCATGCCTTACACAATGCAATGGTTTAAAATGCTTATTACCCCACGTATATAAGGCCACGTGCCTCATTCCTTTCTCGCAGCTGATTCAAAATGACCAGCTTCACAACAGACTGTCCATCTTGCGAAAAAAAATTTAAAACTTTGTATTCGCTTAAAAAACATGTTCGCCAACGCCATGAGGGCATTGATGAAGATTCTCTGATACCATGCTTCAAAGATCAGGACGGCAAGGAATTACAACCCGCACACGCCAGTTCTTTAAGGACCGACAAAGCCGGCTATTTAACGTGGTTGGCCGGCATAACTGAACGGGTCAACAGTACATTTCATCCTCGATTGCCAGGTAAAGATTTCATTCCAGTTTACATTTTCCCTATTCTGCCCGCCATAATAAAGCACACTTGGTTTAATGTAACAAACCCAGCTTCCACGTGAATTACACGTCGTATAAGTAGGGTTCTCAGTTGCTCTTAGGAAATCACAGCTTAAGCCAAAGTCTTAGTGTTTGATTTAACCGTTATTATTATTATATTATTATCTATGTTTGGATTGGCACCATAGAACGATTACATTCATATCTACAGTTAAGCGTACCTATGATACGTACATTGTTACACTAATTCACCTTTAGACATGGTATATTAATATACGCCCCCTTTGAACATTTCATTTTGTTATGACTAACCACAATTCTCCTACTGACATTTACGGCCGAAAACCCACATTTAAGTGAAAGCGTTAGGCCAAAACGTAAGAAAAACGAGTAATACTAATTTAATTTACGCACTGAAATTACCTGTGTGCTGGAGGTTTTTATCATTTTTACTAACAGACATCTGAACAACAACACGAGATTTTCTTGAATCATGGAATCAGTTATTTCTTTCATACCTGATATTTTAGTTAGAACGGATCTCTGAAGCTAGGGCACGTTAATCCATTTTTAAAATCATTCAGTGCTGTTGGATATAAGGGTTCGTAACATATATCTATATATATATACATTTTTTTCAATAACAACATCAATTCCAACAAACAACAGGTCATAAATCACGAAATCTTGTCGTGTGAAAAACTTTCCAGTGATAAATCCCTAGTCACATTTAACTACAAAGGCATCTTCACATATAAATTTAACTACACGCTTCACAGAAGCTGACAGACCATATATTTTTATTGTAGGGGGATGGGTAAAAATAGATTCCCATCAGGTGCCAAAACAGTACTTTGACTACTTCATCACGAAACTTGGAGTCCAGGTTAACGCTGTCAGAAAAGTATGCCACAGAGGTCAACCATGTTACCAGAGTGCCACTCTAAAAGTATCCTACAAACTGTTTCGCTTGGAGCAACTAGTAAGTGCCTTGGAGGAGCAACCACTTGTGAGCCTGCAGCGACAACTCCTTTTCGAGGGAAACGAAATCTGCAGTAATCAAGGGGATCTTTCTGCAGAGGACGAAATTGCTCGCGCAAAGGCAAGGGTCCATACACCTGCAGGAAAGAAAAAAAGAAGACCGTCTTCTAAGTCCTTATTGCAAGTCGGGCTTGGTGAGGGACGTGCCACTAGAGAGGTAGAAATTATATGGTGGCCAAATGTATATACTGTGACAGAGCACGGCCAAATGATTATCCGAATGTATATACAGAAATGTGATTTTTAAACATTAAATATTTAAAAACCTATTTACTCCCAGACACATGCTGGAAAAGATCATATTCTTAAAACTCAATTTTACTGGTAAAACAAATGGTGCCACGCAAAAGTATCAGAATGGACTTCGTTACACTGCAGAATTTGCTCTTCTTACCCAAAAGGTTAACGTGGAAGAATATCAAACGTCTTTTCCTTAAATTTGGGTCTGGGAGTGAAATGTATCACATAATTATGCTACAGTTATTTTTTTAATTGCCCGTATGCATGTTCACGTCAGACCGGCACATTTTACAACCAACTTACCAGTGTACATCAGTTGAAAAAAAATTCTCATGCACTATTAAAGAATGAAAATGCAAAGAATTTTGTCCAAAGACGAGGCTTGTTAGTGAAATAAGCACGGCTGACGTCAACAAGCATATGGCCTTAGACAAGGGCACTGTAACTAGCCAGTAGTTAGATTGTAGGTTATTTATATGTACAGGAATGCAAATGTGCGTAGGTGTGTAAATTACCACAGTATTGTACACCTGCTTCAACAACGGAGTCCTTGAAAGTTTCAGTTCTTGTTTGCGTGGTTTCTGTTTTTCCTTGAGAGTGACCACAACCAACCTACTCTTCGCAATTTCAGTGCCCAGGGTTGTCCATTTGATTTTTAGAGGTGGGGGATTTGTTTTGGCAAGATTATTTTTTTTAATTTTCGGTTGTAAACGTACATCTAACTGTTTTTTTTGTTCCCATTCTGTTTGTTTGATTTTTTTTTTTCTGAAATTCTCCCTCCTCCAGAAATCATATGGTCAGCCCCCATTAAGCATTCACAAATGTCGCAAGATTTATAAACATAATCACCCAAGTTTAATTCTCTTGTTATTAACCTTTTCCACTTTTATGATGGGTGGCTTTTCATGGGGTGACTAAGTGTGCCATGTACATGTGTATCAGTCGCTGTCCCTTTTATATCGTACTATGTTTGTAGTTCTTGCAATAAATACCGAAGTTAAATTCAAACTGACCTCTACTTTTTCCACTGAAGAACAAGGGTCATCAATTCCTTTCTTAAACTGGACATTTCCTCAAAAACCCACTGAAATGGGGCAGGGCAGGTTTGATTCTTGATTACGTCTCGCACTGAAAGAATTACACCTATGCCACAACTCCCAGCACCTTGTCCAGTTGAAGTTTGCCTTGGCATGTTAATGCGTGGCAAAGGCAGAGCAAGTTTTGGCTGGTTCCACTCTTGCTCATGGAAAATGTCATTGTTGGACAACCATTTAAAGCCACTTAGCATGTTCTTGACGATAACAATGGTGTCTCTTGGAGGAGACAGCTTAAGTCCATCGTCAAAATACACAGTTTGGTTTGCTGTATCGAAACACAACACCCCCCAGTGTTGAGGTGTATCAAAATGAAGTGGTGACAAAATATATTTTGCGCTGTTAACAGCACAGTGGCCAAAGAATGGTCTCACCATTTGGCTGAAGTAACTTGCTCCTTGCATTGCCCATGCTTGGCTAAACGATGGGAGGAAGACAATTTCAACAGGCCTGCTATCCTCAAGGAATTTTGAACAGATTGTATCGATTGCGAAGCCATTGACATAGCGTTCACATGCTAGTGTACTGAAGTCAGTAGCATCCATGATACAAGTGCCTGGTCTGATAATTTCTTCTTTCGGTCTTGAATTGAGCAGCACATCTCTAACTTCATCGAGATGGCCTGGTGGACTTCTGTTATCGTTTGAGAACCATCGTTGTTCTTCGCGGACTCGGGCAGCCATTGAAGCAACTGTGCACATTGTCTGAAATACACCAACTGACTCCTTTGAAAAAGTTCCAAGGCGACCTAACGTTACGATAGCTTTGTCATCACAGTCATCGTCACTGTCAACATCAATTGGCCCCACGTTCTTTCTTTTGGAATCTTCCCTAAATAACTTCAAGGCATGGTCTACTGCACTTTCAGATGGACGTAGACTAACAGACAGTGGGTCTTTCACTTCAGTTTGGTCCGGAGCAAGCATGATATCGTCATTGGAAATGGAAGCTACTCTGGGTAGAACCAAAGCTGCTATTTCTCCACGAGTAAGGAGGTTGACCCTGTCCAGTCTCAACAACAAGTTTTGGTTAGAGGGTGCACTGTCAGGAGGTTTAGTTGCTCTGATCTGGTGAAACTGTTTTGTTGATCTTTCTACTGGGGTAGCTTCAGTGCTGTTAATAACTGCGGGTGCTGTTGTTGCTGCAGATGTTACAGAGGCCATTGTAGCTGTACTGCTGCTGCCATGTTGCTGTGGTGTTGCTGCTGCTTTTGGTGACCCTATGGCTGCATGTGCGTTGTTGTTGACGTGCTGTGGTGCTGTACCTGCAATGTCACTGCGGGTCTGGTGTTCTGTTGCCCGTTTCACCTTGGTTGCTGTTCTGCCATGCTACTGTGGTACTGGTGATGGAATGTCATTCTTGAAGGTTTGTTCCCATTCCTCATGTTGGTACTGTATCAGTGGAAACTGCCCCGCTACCACTACACAGTGCTTTGTCTTCTCTGTGTACTCATATTCACAGTAATCGGGACCAAACAGGTTGGTGAAGAGCTCGTCCATTCTATGAATCCACTGTCTGTCCTCTTTATTCCAGTGCATTCTTTTTGCCTTCCAGCCACACCCTCTGTAGTAGAATAGCTCCCCTGAAATAATTCATATAATAATATAACACTTAAATCGTTATGGTACTTTTCAAAAAAAGGATTAATTGACTGACTTTGTTAATGGTATATGGACAAGGATTCAGGTATCCATAAAAATGAGTATGATGAATCTCAATTATGACGTGGCATAATTTTTATTTCCTTTTATACATTCACCATCTAAGATGCTATGGCTGCAATGTTTCTTTGCTTTTTTTCTAATTTTGTTTTTCTCAGCCCTATGGATCTGAGATAAAGGAAACGAAAATGTGAATGTTTGAAAAATTCATACACTGAAAAAAAAATGAATCCACAAGTGGATCTACTATGATGTAAACAAAAAGCAAAGACAAATAGAACTCATGCTTCCAAGTGAAATTAAACCTTTATCATTCCTCAGTAGTGCATTGATACCTTAATTCCGATTCTAGCCTTACCTGTTGTCATACACTGCTTAGCCTCTCTAAATGCAAGCCTCATGTTCAGTAGCATCTCTGTGTACAGATGTGAGAGTATTTGATCCACTACAAATCAGGAAAATAATAAGACTTTAATGACCCTGGTATTTCTATGTGGGTGTCGGCAGATACTTGAAAAATGTACTATATAGCGGTACCGCCAAATTACAAAATTACTGTCCTTTGATCCTTGAGCTGTGGGAAAGATTTGCACTGCTTTGCAGGGTGTGGGAAGTCATTGTAGGCTCTTGCTGCCCAGTACATAACTGATTATTTCATAAATTCAGTTTGCAATGGTGAGGGACTTGCAGGTGTCCATTGAATGCAGGTTTTTCTGCATTACTGTCAACACAGATTTTTGCATTAAAGATTCAAAGTATTTGGGGTGACAAAGAGTCAATATTATAATTGTGTTATCAAGAAGGTCTTTCATTCATGGCAATGAGCGTAAATATTTCACCAGCAAGATTCTCTTTGCCCAGGAAGCCTTCTAGACTGACTTTAATCTTAGGGTTTAGAAATTTTGGGGGACTCGGGGAGGGGGGAGGGGGCGCTTTATAATAATTTACATGCATGGCATAAGTCATGTGAAATCACACATACATGATGAAGCATTGCCTGATGCATCATGAGATGTTGCCCTTGTGTAGAGCTGTCTTTGGAGCTTGTGTGCAGCTTCAAAACCCTGGTTTGACAATTGCCCCAGGGAACGATGCCTTCGAAAAAGCATGGGCACATGCTCCACTGTAAGGTGGCCATAGTCTCCTGTACCTAGGCTTGTGCCAAACATCTCCAAAAGGAGGAAGCCCCATTCTTTGCACTAGAAAATAAGATTCAAAACTCAACATCACAATGTCCCGCAAAAACTACCCTGCACGTGTTACCATTTGCAATGCTGAGGATACAATAGCATGACCCAATAGAGTTGAGACACAACAAGAATTCCTATGTGCAGGGTTAGCTTACAGCCAGGAATGTGGTGCTAAATAATTGCAGAGCCTGAGGTCACCGTTCATGGAAGGGGGTCTCGAAATAACTGACACTTAAAGGTATCCTCTATTAATGCTCCAAAACAGATAGGGGTTAATGTATGGTTCAGACAACGACATAGAAAAATAATTGTAGTCCCCTTTTCAGTATATAAAACTGATATTAAGCCAGTGACTCTTCGGTTAGCCTTTTAAAGCTAAATGATGTAGGCTTATATATGTGTATATAATGTAAGAAAACTTCAAGAAGAACAAAATAGACGGACTGATGCAAACCTTAATGTCAAAAATGTCAATAAGGTGCTCTTCGCTCCCCTTAAACTCACTGTCTCTTATGGTGAATGCTATCTCCTTCCATAACGAGCACACCTACAAACAAGAACAAACAACTTTCATGTATAGAGTTAGCTACAGTAAAATGCAATAATGGTTAATGGTTCACACACCCTTCTGTCTTAAAGCCATGTCTATTTGCACCTCTCCGACTAAAGACTAGTCCAAGATTGTTTTCTTGTGTCTTTCCATAAAAGGTGTGGATAATATTTAACACTGAATGTGTCAAGTGTATTTTAAATACTTAGTGTTAGTAAACTTCTAATGATGTAGGGACTGCATTTTTTCCCAGAGTATCACCATACTATAGCACTAAATTTTTACTTCTGTTGAAAAGATATGACATATGTCTTGTGGCTATAGTAGATATAGCATCTATGATTGTACTGAAAATGAAAAACATCCTTTGCCGACCTCAGCCAGCAAGGATTATGTGAGTGTTATATCAAGTACACATCTGTGCACCAGTAATTTTTAATATCTCAAATCCTTTAGCAATGACAATCAACCTACTGAGTTCACACATTCAACTTGGATTACTTTGTCAGAAATAGAATCCTATAATTCTAAGAAATGCATGATAGAAGTATAGAAGTCCTAACCTCTACAATGAACTCCTTAGTCAATGAGCCTGCATAGCTGCTGAGCTCCTTGTTGCTGTGCACTACTCTTTTACAGTTCTTTCCTTTTCGTTGTTTAGTCGTAGGAACTCTGGACTTGTACAGTTGCTTAAAGTTGCTCTCCATGTCCTCTTGTTTTCCTTTCCAGTATTTCGTAAGTCTGGCAAACTCCCCACTTGCAACTGGATAGACAGAGCCACATTTAATAAGAGCAGTATTAATAACAATAATGATATTGATAATAATAATAATAATAATAATAACAATAAAACATGAATACAAGTCTTTATACAGATGGTCTGTTATCATGCAAGGTGTTCTACAATTAATGGCACTGCTAGATAAAAAAAGGTTACTATAAATTTAACTAAAAATACTAAAATGCTAATAATAATAAAATTTTAGGAGTGAATATTAAGACGGGGCTGCCACCTAAGTGCCACAGTAACAATTTTTAAGTTCATTTTAAGGTAGGCATTCCACACAGGTAAGGAACTATAATAAAGGGTAAACAGTAAATTCAGCCAAAACAAAAAAATTACACATCGAAACATCAGGATGGCTTAAGGTCTCGGTAAAGGAAAACGAGGCACCCACAGAAAAAAATTCTAGTCGCACGAGTATTTTCGCTACAATTAAAGGCAAGTTATATATCAAATTAAAGCTAAAAGACTAAATTACCTTATAAAAGATTTTATTTCATCGAATTTCAAAAGGCACCTAAGTTTTTTGCTCTCGAACTCAGAGGTATCGAGTTTACTGCTGAAGCTCCAGCCCTTTCGCGTTGTTAAATATTCACTTCCTTTTTATTGCGTCTGATTGACAGATAAAAGACCTAAAAAAGGGTGTGAGGAAATTTGCATATGTCTCGTATTAGCGGAATTATTGCATTTCAAACTAAAAAGTCGAATCTCGAGCGCGATTTACACAAAGAAACTGACATAAAATGAGTTACAAAGGGAAATCGGAAAATTCCTCACACCCTTTTTGAGTCTATATCATTATCCATCATATCTGAAAGTTTCAAAGCGATAGCTTAAAACCTGTCCCGACTGGAGGTCGGAGAATTTTGATTTTTGCGTCTAAAATAGAGTGAGAGAAAATCAGCTCTAAAGATTTAGCGCGAGGTCAGGTTAGTTAGCTCAGGGAAGGCTCATTTTAGAAGGGTTAAAAAGCACTTTCTGATTTCCTTTTTTGCCAAAATAAAATTTAGGACTCACTCATGCCAAAAATCCAAAAAAAACAAAATCGAGCAATGTACTAAAATTTTCATTTACCGAGACCTTAATGTGCAAGGTACCTGAATTCACAAGATTAATCTCCTCTTGGTGTGTGCCAAAATCACGAATGAAAATCCCACTCTCCAACATTTCAGTGTAATACTGCAAAATGGCATATAGTTTGTTAGAACATTATTGGTTTTGTGTAAAAAAAACCAAACTTATTAAGGCATAGGTGTGCACATGGGCATGCACTGATCATAAAAAATGTAATATTTGCTAAAATTGAAATGGTGATGGTGGTTTTGTTTCCTTCAAACTTATAGGCTTGTTTAATAATGCCATCATTCTGTATTTTGGTCTATTTGTCTAGCGTTTCAGGCCATAGTTATGCTATAATAATACACGAGGACAGTGCACCAACAAGTATTGTTTGGATACCTATAAAAGAAAAAGTAAGGAAAAAATGGGAAAGACACCTTTTGCCGGGCCTCACAAAATGATATCTTGTTCAGGATGCATAATTTTGCTGCCTCAGGGTCTTGGAAATGAGTTTCTAACTTGGAAAGAGGCAGAGACTTGTCAACAATGTCCTCCAGTGAAGCCAACATTTGTCGCTCAGTGCCTCCTGTCAAAATAAAAAGGGTACAATAATTATTTTAAAAAAATCAGAATTTCTTCACCATTAATTTGTTTTCATGCCTCACAATACAAAGCATTAAACAGTTTCATGTAAACATTTCATGTGGTCAACTACCCTTATTTAAAGGTGCTTAAGTTTAATATTTCAATATTGTTACCAGCATTAAAATGATGCTCTCCATAAGTCCCATTCGTTTTGGCAAAAAGCCCTAGAGAAAAGCAAGGAAGATTTCAATATGTTACACTGAACTGTATGAGGTGTGCCACCCGCCAGTTCAGATGGGGAGGAAATCATAAAATGGTAAGGTTTTATGTATGTTACACTGAACTGTATGAGGTGTGCCACCCGCCAGTTCAGATGGGGAGGAAATCATAAAATGGTAAGTTTTTATGTATGTTACACTGAACTGTATGAGGTGTGCCACCCGCCAGTTCAGATGGGTAGGAAATTATTAGAAAGTAAGTTGTTATGTATGTTACACTGAACTGTCTGAGGTGTGCCACCCGCCAGTTCAGATGAGTATGAAATTATTAAAAAGTAAGTTTTTATGTGCAAGATTTTAACTAATTGTTACTCGAAACAATGTGAAGAGTAACTGACGTCACATTTCAGTCAAGACTTTTTTACTTGGCTTAAGACTAATCTTCTAAGCTAGACTTACCTGAGCATGAGGCAAAAGAAATGTTATTTCGCTCGGGGGCTACCTGCTGTCCCGGCCTTAACTTGACTGTGATGCGATCTGCCTTGAAATTAGCTGGACCATATTCAGAAAGTTTCTGATTGCAGTCTTCAAGTGATCCAATCTCATAGGCCAACAAGCCAATACTCTTCAACAACTGCTGTGTGTTTCTCATCTCACAGTGCAAAGCACAGAGACTCATTGAAGACAGTTCCTCATCAAGGATGCATGTCAAATCCTCTCTCAAGCCTCTGAAACTAATAATCATTATTGCAAACATTACAGTATGCTCCAAACTTCAAAAAAATACTCAAAAGAGAAACAAAAATTTATCACAACTGTAAAGCTGTCTAAAAAAAATGCCTGCAGCAGCTAATATGAAAATTTCAACAACAAAAAATTATTTTGTATTAAGCTCAGTGGGAGCATAAAAAGGGATAACATTCAATGAGAGTGTGTCAAATGAAATGCCTGACTTGAATGAAACACAGCAGCATATCATGTGGAAGAATAGTAAATGTTTGAAAAGACATACCCGCCAATGTTCGCCTTTGTTTGAAGAAAGTGCTCAAGACACACTTCATGCCTTCCTAAATCACAATCACAAGCCTATAGAGAAAAAGAGAGAGAGAGACTAGGCTCAACATTTGGGAGTACTTTCTGTACTGTTGAAATTAAAGGAGTCTCACTTTTAAAGCACAGTACCACTGTTAATATGGCTATACATGTTGTTGAACTCATTATGTCAGGGGTCAATTTTTGGTTCATAACTCCCTGCATTGGACTGAAATTTATACAAAGATGCAGGATCTGCAGCTATCTTGAAATGAGAAACCCAAAACAATCTGGTTCTTAAACCCCTTATTGTATTTTTTGTTTCCTTGCTAGCTTTCACATTAACGAAATGATTATGCATTTCTTAAGGCCTGTAAAATCCTACTACCACTGTCAACTAGGTACCAATTTTCTTGTACTACATAATTATAATAAAAACTAATCAGGTCCTTTTTTTCTTCTTTGATGTATCATGCACGGGGGCAAAAATAAATTGTTGTGTAAATATGTATATTGCAGAACAGACAAACTGGACTAATGAGAAGTCTGTAACTATGTGTTTAGCAGCATAGTCTAAACTTACCCTCAGTGTAAAACAGAATATGCAAAACTCGACACACAGGCCCCGTCCTCCCAGCAAAAAATCTTCATCTTCAATTTTTGCCATGAGCAACACTAAACCTTTGTAATCAAGAGTAACTAAAAAAGGAACAACCAAAAGGCCAATGTTAAATGCTAGACAATGCCAACATTGTGTTAAGATTGTACATTCAACTCTAAAATTGAAACTGTTAGTAATTCCACTTTTCTCTCCTTGGTACAAAAGCCACCATAAGTAACTCTTTTTTTCATAGTTGAAATAATAAACTAACAGGCGATCATAATTACCTTTGAACTGTACACGATAGTGTTTGCCATCCACTGTTATTCCCATCTTTTTCAGTTTGTCCTTCTGCTTGTTAAGATTATGAAGCAACTTCTTAAGGTCATCTCTTAAAAACAGACAAGCAGAATTAATTTGATATATGACTTGGATTAACAAAAGTGCTTTTTTTAAGGAAGTGACTTTATGCAGGTAATGGGCTTAGTCACAATACCATAATATTTCTTTTGCTTCACACTCAGCAGATCATTAGAAAATAAATTTTTTTGGAATAAATATTACAGCTACATTTGAGTGACAAATAACGTACACATGCAATAACAGTCCAAACGTCGAAAAAACAAAAGCAATGCCACCAACCTGTTTTCCTTACAGTTAGCTATAGCCAGAGGATAGACTGACTTGGCACTCTGAGAGGACCGGTACTGAGCATCAAGTGGAACAATGCCAAATGTAAGCTGGTCTTTGCCTGTAATTTACAAAATATAAAAATATATAATGATTATATAATTTATATATGCATACACTTTATATATGTATTTATTATATAAACACCAATGAAATACCAGGTGAGCTTTCGCGCGAAAACATGATATCTTCACACGTGAAAATAACGTGAAAATAACATGTTATTTTCACACGTGAAAATATCACCGTTGCTATGGCTACATAATAAATCGCACCTTTCACAGGAAAAAACTGTTTCAGAGAAATGATTTGGTATTTCATTGGTGTTTATATAATAAATAGAACATTACATGGCCGCTTGGAGATACGAAATTTCTCTGCGCTCACTCGTGAAATATTTTTCAACACTCGAAGAGAAATTTCGTATCTCCGCCTGGCCATGTAATATCCTACGGTATCTATATACACTTTTGGTCTTCTTTAACTTCTTTTATGTATATATATGTAAGTATATATATGTAAGTATACATGTACTGGCAGCAGCAGCCTTGAATGTCAACCAAATTTGGAAGAATTTTGCAGATATGTGAACTGTTGGTGTCATGTGTGCGGCAAAACTGCCAGCTTATTGAACTGTTAACTGAGAAAACCTGGGGATGAGGTTGAGTTGTTCTGGTAGTGAGTACAAAATGGTGAAAGAAATAGACAAACTATTGGCTAAAAACACAGAAAGAACAGCAAGAATTGACCTACAAAAATAGAAATAGCTTTGTGACATATCTACTTGAAACAAGAGAAAAGGATATAAGAAAAAAAACAAGGGGAAGTGTACAGTACTAATGTACCCTTACCATGGAAAGGACGCCCATCAATCGACAGTTTAAATGTAATGTCATCAGGAAGTGACCCATGTAGGCGCATCTCCCTGATGACCCAAACGGCAACATTTTCAAGATTTACTTCAAATCCAGGGACTTCTTCAGGAAGAGCAGTAATGTCCATGAGTGATCTTGTACCACTGAAGTGAGCCCTTCGCAGCGCTGCAATATTATTCTTGATGAGCAGAATAGGTTCATCTGATGTTTTCTGTAAAAATTTTAAAATTACACCTGCTGTGAAACATGCAATGTTGTGCTAGAGACAAAAGCCAACCCCAAAAACGTATTTAAGGTGTAAGAACAAGCCCCCTCCCCCCATTACCCAATTAAAATAGAAGCAGTGCCAATTAAAATAAAAGTCCCCCATCCCCTCCCCCACTGTCTTCATAGCTGGGGAACACTATAAGCACCCTATCAAAAATTCATAAGGTCAGAATAGATCTTGTAACTTACCCCAGTTCTCATAAAGCTTCGTAAGATTAGTTAAATCCTGCCAGCCACTGTCTGAAATTCTCGACTTCAGCTTGAATAGGAGGTACATCCAGTCAGGGACCCTCATACATTTCACTCTTTCGTTCCACGCGTCTTCGGATACCAGCTTCTCGAAGGCTTTTCGTGCACCCTTTTCCGCTACCATTGCGTCAACGACTGACTTCACTGTTTCGCGAACATCTTGGCCTTCCTTTCCTGTCATTTTCGAACATTCTGCCAGCACGGTCCCCAGAGTTTCTCCGTTGTACACGCAGACTTCTGGAATGTCTTGAATAATTCGAGTGGCAACTTCACGGACTTTCTTTCTTTTGCTGGGTGGGGAAAGATCCTGATCCACCTTGATCTCTTCTATTGTCCGTTTCTTCCCTTTTGGGTGGACATCACTTGGAATTTGTATTGGCGGGCTCTCGAATTTTGGCGGGCTTTCAGGATTTGGCAGGCTTTGCCTTGGAGTGCTCGGTGCAGTGGGGAGATCGACTTTTTGGCATCCCTTGCTGCTTTTTACTTGTGGGGTGAAGTACAGGGCTTCCGCTGCCGTAACCTGGGTCGGCAGAGAGGCAATATTTTGGTCGGAGTCGCCAACCTTGCACTGCAAGCCTCTCGCATTTAGTACGGATATCAAACAATGGATGTAATCCGACTTCATGAATTGGCAGTTGGACCACGATTTTAAGCGGAGAATCCCAAGCAGTAGACCGAATGCCGAAGCCACGTATACTTTCTCGCTGCTCCGAAACGAGCAAAACCAGCGGAAAGACACTTGAGCTCCATCTTCGCCACGCAGGTCATTGAGGAAGACCAGCTTATATTCCTCAGGAAATAAATTCGCGGATGAGGTGGAACAAAAGGCAGCTGGTTTTGAACAGCATAAGGTAGAATTCAAAGCGTACCAATGCTTCTCTGGGTTCAGATGAGGCGAAAATACCCGCATCAAGGAAAGCGTTTCGTACGCCATTTCTACATGATGTGGCTTGGTTCCACAACTGAAGAAAACGACTTCTGGTAGCGGGTCGAGCGAACTGGAGCTTATACCTTTTCGAAAATAGCGCCATAAGTAAAGTTTTTTCCATAAAAAGCTTAATCCAATTACCATCTTTGTTAGCTTGGTTGTACTTTTACTTTTCTTTTGTTTTGCCCAGTTGAAATGTAATGTACTAACTTGCTGGTCGACTAGTTTAATCATTAATTTGCCATGCGCCGCTGACCGGTACTTTTTCTCGTACGTCACTTGACGTGAAAAATTTCTGTTTGCAGTGTGCGGAGATCTTATCGAAAGTAAAAAGGAGGCAAAAGGTGACGTTCCTTCATATAAGGAGGGAAGATTTCGGTGGCTATAACGATTATCTGCTTAAAGATATCTTCGATACGGCCGGGTTTCGGCTTCATATCGCTAAATAATCCTAATGGACATGGATGAGATGACTATATCACTGCCCTAGCCCTCTCCCCTAGGGGCCTGTCCCGGTTTATTTGATAACCAACTATCATTACATAACTATTTATTGACTGTTGAATAGTCTATTGAAATTTAATACGTCGCAGCCATTACGCTAGCATACGCTATTATAAACAAGTATTATTACCGAATAAGTAAAATCCATAAAAATGTACAATTTAAAATATACAATTATTCAAAAAAATGTTACGCTTTACAATGCACTAATCTAAGTCATCTAACAAACATTATAGTAATTCCACCTACTGTACATAACTAAAAATAAAATATTGAAAGCTCGCAACTAGCGATCATCTAGAAGACACTCACGATAATTTTATTGGCTGCAAATGCGACTATAAAAGGATTCCGTTCTCGGCTTGCATGAAACTAGCGGTTCTTCTTTTAACCTTTTTAAAAATAAATTTGTATGCGGCGTTTACGGACTTCGAAATGACTTTGGAGTACATCATGAGCCTGTAGAACATGAGGGGTTTTGGTGTCTTTTGTTGTTTTTTTAATTTTTTTCGCCGTTAGGCTCGGGGGTACTTAAAACACGTTTATACGGGGAGGCTCCGCCCCGATTTTCAACCCTTAACCTTTTATATATCATTTTTCACGAGAAAAGTACCCTTTAATATACCTATATATACCCTTTTATATACTTCAGCCAGTGAAATCCCGCCCTTTCATATAACTGAAGCCTGAAAAAGGTACCCGTTCGGGCGGAGCCTCCACGTATAGGTCATCACAGGGAGTACCCCTCCCCGGCGTTAGGCAGACAAAAGCAAAAATTAAAATTGAACTGCAGCGATTTCCTTGGCAAACTCTTGGATGTTTGCTCTATGAGAAGGTTCGTCGTTGGTTGCAGTCTTAACAACAACACGAACCTTGTCATAAAATCCCATGGTCGTTGCAATCGCTTTCAGCATTCGTCCCATAGAATATATGTCACTGGCTGGACTGTACTGCCTGCACTTTACGACTTCAGGAGCAAGGTAACTTTTCACGTGGGCACTCTTCTCATGCGTCTTCCTCTCGTTCACAGTTATCGTGGCAGCAGAACGTATTCTTGTGCTTTTACCGAAATCAATAAGTACTGGGGCGTACTGTTCAGAAACAGTTTGATCAAGCACCACATTATTGCTTTTAATGTCATTGTGCAAAAATCCTTTCCAATGCACGTGCTCTAAGGCGGAGCAGATCTTCACAAATAAATGAACACATTCGGTAGGCGTTATTATTTTGTTCTTTGCAGCTTGGTGAAGGGTCACACTTCTTTCGTTGACACCGTGGCACTGCGTTAAAACACAAAATGGTGTATTTGCTGTTGTGATGCCTATAAGCATAGGCAGTCCGTCATGGTCCCCAAGTGCAGTAAGCACTTCTGCTTCGTGGACCACTTCACGCTTCGCCCTTAACTTGTCCTCTTCTGTATCCCTGTGTATCATCTTCTTTACAACCACGTCGATTCCCCTGTAACGGGCACGGTAGCATTGCCCGTAGCTTCCACTACCAACAGCATCTAGAGGCAAATAGTCTATATGCCCTGGCTCTAGTTCTTTTATCAAGCTCTTCTCCTTAAGGACAATGTGTTTTTTAACTGCACCCAGATTTCTCCTGGATGAAGCTGGCATGTGCTGCGGTGGTCGATTCGAAGGTGCGTCATAGGGTTTTTGCTTGGAATGCTTGCGTAGATTTTCCATCTGCCAAGGCCTGCATTGTCTTTGAAGAGTTTCCTTTTGACGGCTAAGCTCAACATCAAAGCACTTCTTGAGTTTGCGGCTGCCAGTTGCCCTTTTGGCTTGATCTCCTTGGTGAGGCTTTTTGACTTGGATGCATGAACTTTTGGAGAATTTTTAAGGAACTTGCTTTTTTTCTTTGTATCCACCAAAGTTCTCTTTTGCTCCTCGATAGCTACTTTCCTCTCTTCGCTACCATCGTTTCTAGCATTTGTGGAAGAGCTGGACTTTGCCCGCTTAGCCTGTTGCTTTCTTTTTTTCCACTCTTTTCGCTGTTTTCTCCTCTCTTCTTGCGTATTCTCGCGAGATTTTCGTTTTCTGCCCTTGTTGTCGTCATTAGCGTCCATAACGGATGAGCAGTCGAACACTTAAGCTAAAAAAATTACTCTAGAGATGCGCTTGAAAATCGCTCACTCTCGGGTTATTTTAACCGCGTTCCGAGTGAAAGGTTTCGCGCACCAGGTAGCGTATAGGTAACGTTTTAAGCAGGTAAAAATTTATCAATCCCGAAGAAGGTCGAATGAGAGAAAAAAAACTTTAACGTGTCCATAAAAATCAAGTCTTTCTTTTGGTCAGCTAAAGTCAATGTGACTACAAAGAGCGCATTGAAACGTTTTAAAAACATCAATATAACATGAAAGAGTACAAAAAGGTTACTTTTTTGCGTTCTCGATTAACACTGCAGCGGGGTTCAAAACCACAAAATGGCATCACCAGGCATCTTAAGCTTCCTGTCTGTTATCTTTGATGCGTCAGGGAAGATCATGTATCAAGTGACTGACTTTTGCGAAATTAAATTTCACACCTAAGAATTTAATTAGCATAGCGTCTTTAGCAGCTGTGGCTTCCAACAGCGTCCAAAAAATTCTCTATGAGGCTCCTCATGATGCCCTTTTTTTAGATATGATTTGAAAGTCATCTTTGCCCTGCACAATTCAGTCTTGAAAGTTATATTATATTACCTTTAATTTATGTCTGTAAGTGAGTTACTCTTTTTAAATTGTTACGTTGGCAATTACTACATTTGTGAGCAAATGTTACTACGCTTGTGACCTTTATTACATTTGTGACCAAATGCTATTACACTTGTGACCTTTATTACATTTGTGACCAGTTATTACATTTGTGCCTTCAACACTGTCTTCGATTTTTGTGGCTAGCAACCCCCCCGGACCTATCTGATTGTGGTTTACCGATTTTGTCGTGTTGTGTTTGGACTGAATGCGTCCCCCTTTTTGCTAAATGCAACCTTGAGGCATCATATTTCGAAGTTTATGGCAGTTGACCCCGAGTTCGTAAAGAAATTAATTGATTCGTTCTACGTGGGTGATTTCATGGGGGGCGGAGCCTCGTCAAGTGGAGTTGTCGATTTGTATAGTAAAACTGTCAACTGGATGGCAGACGGGGAATTCAAGCTGAGAAAATGGCTGACCAATGACCAGAGTGTTAGAGAGAAAATTTCAAAAGATCTGATCGATAAAGTGAAACTTGACCTGGTTTCAGCTGAAAATGTCACGTACGCAAAGTCATCTCTAGGCCTGAAGATGGGAAGTAACAGCCAAAAGGTACTGGGTCTGTCATGTGATTTTGAGCAAGATACGATAACCCTCAAACTGACCGCAATCGCCAAGCGCGCAGAAAATCTACCTGTGACAAAGCGAAACACACTGCGACTCTTGGCTGGGATCTTTGACCCTCTTGGAATGATTGGTCCCATAACAATAACAGCGAAGATTTTATTTCAGGAGGCTTCTCGCAAAAAGATCAATTGGGACGACCCACTTGATGGAGTGATAAAGCAAGCCGTTGAAGCGTGGATTGAAAGCCTAATAGAATGTAAACTAATCACAATTGACAGGCGTCTCTACAAACACGTGCGCGAAGAAGTCTTGGGATGTTCGTTACATGGGTTTGCAGATGCGAGTAAGAAAGCTTACTGCGCAGTTATTTATTTCGTCTACCAGACAAGCACAGGTACATATTCAAAGATGCTAACTTCTAAAACGCGAGTGGCATCGCTCAAAGAGCTGTCCATACCATGACTTGAGCTCATAGCATGCTTGATCCTTGCAAAGCTCATCTCCACAGTGAAGAATGCGTTGAATCCACAGCTAAGTGTTCAGAGAACAAAACTTTGGTCAGACAGTATGACAGCGCTGTATTGGATCATGAACTAAGGTGAGCGGAAACAATTTGTGAGTCACCGTGTTAACGAGATCGTGAAGTTGAGTAAAAAGGAGGATTGGGGGCACTGTCCCAGTGAGCAGAACCCAGCCGACACTGGATCGAGAGGATCATTAGCAGTAGAGCTCAAAGGGAATGAGATGTGGTGGCACGGGCCATCTCGGTTGATCCAACTGGAAGACCTTTGGCCCAGACAGAAATCTCTTGTGCCAACTATTGAGACATGTGAAGAAGAAAGAAAAGTCGCCGTTATGACTATCGCAGTCAATGAGCCTTGTGGAATAGAACAGGTGGTCAAAATCAACAAATCCAGCACACTTTGAAAGCTTTACAGAGTGACTGCATGGGTCACACGGTTCTGTCACAACATCTCAAGGAGAAACAAGAGTGACAAAAGAGAAGGGGCGCTTACTTTGGAGGAGATAGTAGAGTCAGAAGAGTTGTGGATAAGGATGGCACAGCGAGAATTGAAAAAGGGGGAAAACTATGAACAGCTTGTCTCAAAATTCGGTTTCCAAGAAGATCAGAAAGGTGTTAGAAGATGTAAGGGATGCCTTGAGTACTCTGAAATGGTGCACGGGATGAAGGAACCGATCATTTTGCCCAAAGAACACCGACTGACGATATTACAGATCCAGGAATGTCACCATAGAGTTCTACACAATGGTGTGAGGAGTACACTTGCAGAGTTGCACTCAAAGTTTTGGGCACCGAAGGCGAGACAATTGGTGAAGCGTGTGATCAGTCGTTCTGTCCCTTGCAAGAAGATTGAAGGCAGACCGTTTACTCAGCCACCGACCGCTAGCTTGCCAGAGTTTAGAGTTAGACCAGCCCCGCCGTTTTCAAAGGTAGGTGTAGATTTTGCAGGCCCTTTGTTTGTCGAAAAAAAGGTGCACAAATGAGAAAGAGTTGCTTCGCTTTGTTTACTTGCTGCGTGACGCGACCTGTTCACCTAGAGCTGGTAGAGGATTTGTTGGTGGAAACGTTTAAGCGGTGTTTAAGGAGATTTATAGCAAGAAGGGGAATACCTGCCTTAATTGTTTCAGACATTTAAGGGCACGAAGAAACAACTACATACACTTTTTCGTCATCCGCAGGTGAGAGGAGAAATGCAAAACCACCAAATTGAATGGTGTTTTAATCTGGAAAGAGCTCCCTGGTGGGGTGGTTTCTTTGAGAGGATTGTGGGTAGCGTGAAGCGATGTCTGAAGAAGGTCCTTGGTAATGGTCGACTGACGTATGATGAACTTTTATCCGTCCTGACGGAAGTAGAGGTGACCTTGAATTCAAGACCCTTAACTTAAGATTATGACAATCCTTACGAGGGAGAGGTATTGACCCCTAAGCATCTACTCTACGGGAGAAGATTGTTATCCTTGCCAGAGGAACCCCAAGAAGAAGATGATAAAACCGAAAATAGCTACAGAAGGAGGTATAAATATATTAATGAAACTCTACAGCATTTTTGGAAAAAGGTGGCAAAGAGAATACTTGACAAATTTGAGGGAGAGTCATGATTGTAACACCCAGGCAATCGGAAAAGCACCAAAGGTAGGTGAAGTGGTGATGGTGTATGAAGAGGGAGTTAAGAGAAATGGCGGTAGTGGAGAGCCTCATCGTAGGAAAAGACAAAGAGGTAAGAGGGGAAAACGTACGTGTGATAACGACGGGGAAGGCAGTTCATTTAAGTAGGCCTGTGCAAAAGTTGTTTCCTATCCAGATTAGAACTGGGACATCCGAGATCTCGGATGTCCCCAAAGAATGCGTTACAGGGCCACAAAGGCGCGATGTTCCTTGCTGTTCAGCAGCGTTGGATGCGGTCTGGAAGACCTGTGCGAAACCAGCCGAACGACTAAACTTAGGTATGTATGCACGTATCTTGACTCAAATCGAGTCATGCGTGGTGGGAGTGTTGGAAAACATATAGCGCGTTACACAACACGTCCCTTACCTTAAACATAGTAATGGAAACCCTGATCGCGTGTATTTTTAAAGAGATAAGGAATGTATTAAGTTGACAAGTTAATTGCTTTTGAATGTTATGTGCGTGATGTGATAAGAATATGACACATAGATATCTTATAACAAAAATGCCAAGACTGTGTATAAGAAAAGAGAGTTGTTATGATTAGGCAGAATGAATTAATGAATGTACGGTGTAGTGAACGAGGATCGTTGCTGGGAATAAAGATATACAGTGCAAGTTCCGAGTGTTTGATTGAGTGTGTGGATATTCCCGAACACTCTCCTTGCGATCACTCTCGTAAGCAACCAGCTCTAGTTACGACCACCTTTTTGCTTTTCATTGCAATTTTACGTCTAATCGATTTGTTAGCTAAGCGAATGTTAACCTTTTAGTTTTTCCCAGTCAAACCATCCACAGCAATTCCTCTTTTCCATAAAATTAAAAGAAAACGAGAGCTTAATAGATGAGCCAACTTTGTTAAGTTACGTCAAGTCTTAATTAAGTCTCAATTAGTATAACAGCTGGTTATATGTTGGATAAGTTATTAAGCTTTTTTGTTGCTTTTTCCCATTTTATTTTTTTGTTTCATTACTATTTGTACTTTTTTCTACCTTCTGTGTTTTAATAAAGCATTAATAAAAATAATAAAAAAGAAAAAAGATGGCTACCGAATCGCTCAGAAATTGTTTGCATACGTATACTTATTCACGTATTTCCAATAGGTTTTCAGTCAATTCCCTCCTCATGCGATTAGGATAATGCAAACGAAAGCAAAATCAGTTTTAACCGGAAGTCTTATTTTTAAACACTCTGATACTTTTCAAATGTCACGATTTCTTGAGGTACTAAGCCCATTTTCAGCAAACGCTTGTCTTTCCACATAAGTTCCCTCACATGACAATCCATACAAAAATGGCGGGTTTCGGTTATGACGCGGCCGTTATCTAAGATAAGATATTCATGTTTGGCTTGAGATCTGGTTTAAAATACACAAGCTTTAGATTTAAATAGAGGATGTTACATGGCCGCTTGGAGATACCAAATTTCTCTTTGAGTGTTAAATTTTTTCAACACGAGAAGAGAAATTTCGTATCTCAAAGCGGCCATGTAATGTTCTATTTATTATGTAAACACCAATGAAATACCGAACCATTTCACTTTAATAGTTCTTTGGTGTGAAAGGCGCGATTTATTATG